AGAATCAATGGCAAAAGTCTGGAGAGTCAATGACCCAATTCTTGTAAACCAGGAAGAAGGTAGTCAATTTATAGGATTGGATTCTAATTGCTAGTCTTATATTAACTTTTTGGAGTAAGGAGGAGTGTACTTGTGGTCTGTTGAGAATGAAAGCCTTCTTTTGAATGATAATCAGGGTTGCTCATGGTTGGATTCTTGTATAAATAGAAGAATTTCACTGAAGTAATAATTGTCTACACACTACTGAAAATGGAGCCCACGTCCTTTTCCTTCCTCCCTCCCCCCCCTTCCTTCCTTCTGTACTTTTTTCCTTCTTTCCTCATGTTTGTCACTACTTCTTGATGTTTCTCATTTCTGATATAGAGACCATTTGAATAACAAAAGATGAAACAAGAAAGAATACTGAAAAACTTTAAAAAGATTTAATAAAATCTATGATACAATATCAGAGGTCAGAAATACAAATGTTTTGACATGTCATGACATAGATTTTACAGGTTGTTCTTATCTGCCTCAGCAGCTGTGTTCTGATTATAAGCATTATGGTTGAGTTATTTGTTGTCTCAGTTGCATATGATTCTTGTTTTTAATGAATCACATCCCTTACCTTCACCAGGTCACAGTGAACTTCTGCATTTTGTTCACTGCTGTAGAGTACTGAGTAGAAAAGATAGTTAGACTCTGAAGGATGGTAATATATCTTCTAATTTAGGTGTTCTGCTTCTAACTTCTTTTCTTTAGAAAACATTTTTGTGTAGTGACTCACAAAAAAATTCTGAAATGAATACAGCTCTATTTTGCATTTGTGGTAAAAATGCTGGACTATTATAAAGGTAATTATTTCTTTCAAAAATAAATAGCTTTCTACATAAAGGAATGATTAAATGCATAATTATGTTTGCTGAAATTTTTTTTAAAGCCAGAGACTATTTTTATAGGGTCGTTATTTATTATTATTAATTTTTTTGGTAGAGAGCCTTATCCTCAAATTTTAAAAGGTTATATTAGCAAGCCAGTATCTCTCCTACCTCCTCCTACACCTAGACTCATCCCCACTTCTCTTGGCAAAGAGAATAACTTTTCTGGGCTACAGAATATGGGTCGTGTAGTAAAGTGTTTTTTTTTTCTCTCCTCCTACACTTAAAACCAACAAAGCCTCAATTCCTTTACGGAAGAATTCCAAAATTCCTGAATTTGGGACACTGAACAGTACCTTTTGTGGAAGTACAGCAGCCTAGTCTATGCCTTTAATTACTATAAAAACTAAAGTCATCCACCCTCTCTTTAATGCAGGAATTGCTATGGGTGATGCCTGCCACCTACCTCTTCAGACCTTTCACAGTCTCCCTCTTAGGAGCATCTCCTTTTCTACCCAAACCCTGTTCTTTGACTCAGTGCCCCCCAGACAGTACCTCTCACACTGCTCCCACTGTTCACTGCATGGAAGCCTGCAGCCAAACAATGTCTTCTGGTGACTGCCTGATTGTTCACCCTGAAGGCCAGCCATCCCACACACAGTGGAGAAGGACATTCCTTAGAATACTCATTATCACTTCTTTGCTTAAAGTTTTGTTTTTTGGGTTTTTTTTTTTTTTTTTCATTTCCAGGGACTGCTTTTATGGCTGCCAGCTAGAACTGTTCAATCTATCAGTATCTACTGTTTTCTAGACCCAGTAAAAAGTTAGGATTGAGGAGTACCAAGATTCTCCTCCATTTGCAGTCTGACTTTATTTGAATAATTGAGCGTTTACTCTTTAAAAAAATCAACTCTAGTATTGTTTTTTGGCAAATACCTATTATAATTTTATATTTCCCGTTATCTAGCATCTGTATTTATTTATTTATTTATTTATTTTTGAAGTATAGATACAGGCACACTGTTTTCATCTGGGAAGTAGAGGTGGATCCTGAAAAAGGAAAAGCAAGCTAAATCAGTACTGTAAGGGCTTGTTAGAACATAGTCCCAGTGGACTGATCCTAGCGACATCAGTCATCCTTTTGCTAATCCAAAGTAAAACACATATCTAGACATAATTTTTTACAGCTACTGTTGGGATCATTGCCTGTAAATCCACCCAAACTACAGTGATGCTTATTATGACACTTGTAAGGTCAAAGCATTTGCACCATTCCCTAATTGCCTGCTGCTCCTTACTCTCTATTTCCACATCCAATTCCAAGAAAACTTTCTGGCTGCCATAAAACTTACATTTTAATATGCAACATAATACTCTTCCTTTGCTTCTATGCAACAGGTTTAGCATTATCACATGAACGTCTTATATCATACATTCAATATAAAAATTTTTTTTTGAGAAATAAAAACAAATAGCAGAAAGAGAGGCCACAGCAAAGTAAAACAGCACTCATTCAGAACACAATCCAGAATTAGTAATCATTATTATTTTATTCAGTCTAATAGATTTACCTATGTGTTTACCTATTTGCTCAATGTTTTTTCCAACTCAACCTTTCATTCAGTTTCCTTATTTTTGAAATAAAATTTTTATAAGTTCCTTCTGTGGGAATTTGTTAATGATAAATTTGTTTTCACTGAAACTATCTTTATGTCATCTTCATTTTTGAATGATGACTTTGCTGATTATAAAATTTAGTGTAACTTTTTTTTCTCCAGACCTTAAAGATGTTAGTCTGCTATCTTCTGGCTCGTATCATTTTTCTGAGAATTCTCCTGTAGATATAATATTTGTTTCTTTGAGGCAATATTTTCTCTATATTTATATAAAATGTTTTTATGCTTGGTTCTCTAATTTCACTATAATGTAACCAGTTATAAATTTAGTTTTATTTATCCTACTTGGAAATCATCATGATTCCTAAATCTAAGAATTTGTGTCTTTCATAAATACCAAGAGGATCAAAACCATCCTAGTATTCTTCAAATATTGCTTCCCTTCTCATTGCCTCTTTCTACCTTCAGAACACTTATTAGACATATATTAGGTTAGCCCATTCTCTCTTCCATATCTCTTTATCTTATTTAATATTTCCCATATCGTTATCTGTCTGTGCTATATTCTGTGTAATTTAGTCAGTTCTGTCTTCCAATTTACCATTCCTTCATTTTAGTGATGGTATTTTTTTAGACATTTTACTTGTTTCTTTTATAAATTTGTATATTTCTTTTTAGTTGCTTTTCCTTTTCTCGTATTTTCATTCTTTATCATACATCCTTAATAATTATAAACATAACTATTGCAAATATTTGTATTCAGTAATTCCAAAGACCCATAACTCTGGATCTAATTATACCATTATGGCATGGTGGTAAAAACAAACAAACAAACAAACAAAAAAGCCCTGATTATTTATAGGGTTTCCCAATGATTTTGGTGTAAATACTCCTGTATAGCAAATTTCAGGTTACCAATGATTTAACAACTGGCTCTCAGAATTTCTAAATACTTAACAATAAGTTTTCATAAGCCAGTATGAGCCAAATCCAGCACCCTGTTTATTATCTCTGCTACTTCTCACTCATTATACCTTTTGTAATTTTGGATTATAAACTCATGTTTGGCAGAGTTTAAATTTTTTTGAAATCCTATGTGGCTTTAATGGAGGGAGTTTCTCTCCAGAGAGAATTTTCATTTTATTCTTCAGGCACCTTAGGGATTTCATCAGTGAAGGACCACTTTTCCAATTTAGTTTTTGCCTCTAGGTTTCTCATACCTTGCAGGTAGAATAATTTCAAGTTAAAAATTTGTGTGAGGCACCCCTATGATTAAGAAGGATCAGAGGACACTCTTTTTTCTCACACTGAGCCAAGGATAAAACAGACACGCTTCCTTCTTGTGTCCCTTTGTCAGTGGATAGAAGTTTTCTTCATTTTGGACTCCTTGATATTTTACTGACTTTTTGAGGAGCTTAGATATGCATTTAAAAGGTTGTTAGTTATGTTTTATCCGTCATTTTTAGGTGTTCTGGAGAAGGTGATTTATGTTACCTAATCTTCTACATTGCCAGTAAGAGAACTTTATATAGAATTTTATGCCAATTTTAATCAAATATATTAACTCTGCCTTAAAAGTTTAAATTTTATCAACAGGTTAGAAAAGGATTTTCAAAACACCTCTGTAGGAGATGGTATATGGTATTGTAATAAAGAGTAAAGGTGCAAAGTTGGAACAGGTGGTGTTTGATTTCAGCTTACCCACTAATAGTGTGGGACCTCAGGCACACACCTTAACCTCTACACATCTCTATTTTCTTTTCTATTAAGATCACATAATAAGGGTTATTATGGGGGTAAATGAAATGATATATCTAAAGCATAGAGCATAGTGTCTGGCATATAAAAGGTTTAGTCAGTGGTGGCTTAAAATATATTTTATGTCTTGAAGCCATTTATGCAAACATTATCAGTTTTAGTTGAGGACAGAGATAACAAACAAAATAATTACATAACATAAAATATTGTAGCCTGATAGAACATGATAAATACTAAGAAGAAAAATAGAACAGAGAAGCAGAATAGAAGGTGTTAAGGGTTAGTTTACATTTATCTCTGATCAGCCAAACATGATCAGTAACTCCAAAAGTAATTTCCACTTTTCCTGGGTTGCCCCTCAAAGTAGAAATCCTAGAAATTGTTTAGAAATACAAATGTGGCCTGACCAGCACAGGGTGTAGACTTTCTCCTCCCTTACTTTAGAAAAGAGATTCTTAATTTTGGTCTTTAAATCCCATAATAGTCTATGTATTGATTTCAGGGAATTTCAAGGGACCTATGAGCTCACTCAATTTGTGTACAAGATTTTGTGGGGTTTACATACACCCCACCAACACACTGAATGCTCGTGCAATTAATTCTTTAATCCAAGTCTGAGACCTAACATTTTTACTTATTTAATTTCATTTTATTAGATTGATGCTAAAACCTATAATGCTATGATTCTAAGACTTAAGAAAAATAATACGCCTCTGGGAGATTTAATTGATATGTATTTACATGAACTTCTTTTCTTTCTTCTCTGTAGGTCGAAAGTTTAAAAAGTTCAATAAAGTCCGAGTTATGAGAGCACTAGATGCTGTCACTCTCCCACAGCCAGTGGGCATTCCAAGTGAAAGCCAGAGAATCACTTTTTCACCAAGTCAAGATATACAGTTGATCCCCCCACTGATCAACCTGCTAATGAGCATTGAACCAGACATGATCTATGCAGGACATGACAACACCAAACCTGATACCTCCAGTTCTTTGCTGACGAGTCTTAATCAACTAGGCGAGAGACAACTTCTTTCAGTAGTCAAGTGGTCTAAATCACTGCCAGGTAATAATAATTTGTATTTATAGCATGTAATAAAAATTTTACTGTTTGTTGTACTAGTAGGTTGTTAAATAAAATAAAAGGCTGTACGGTAGATTAACTATAGTGTAAACAGTATGTTATAGTATATGTTGCAGTAGTTCAAAATATTTATCTAGGACCCTATGTTATCCACTACTTTTCTAGGAACCTATTGTGTGCTATGGAGATACAAAAGATGTAGTCAACACATTGAGTCTTGTTGATGAATCAAGAATTATATACATGAAACAGTTAAAGAATAGCATAAATTTATGTGTTCAACCATAGATGTTATAGTAGTTCAGAGAAAGACAAATTGACCATCTTCTTAAAAATATCTAGTTCATTCTAAACTCTAATTTGACCAACCTCAATTGGTTGGAAAAAAACTGAATGTGTCTATTCATATAACAAATCTAAATAGTATTCAGAGTACAGTACAAAATAGTATTTAGAGTGTCTAAAGTCAATTAAGAAACAATATTCCTAAACATAAATAAATAATTTAGACAGAGAAATGAACTTCCACTCACTATTTTCTCTAATTTATACCCAAAGAGGGTCACAATGAGAATTTGAATCATATCATCATGAAAGGATTTCAGTCACTTTATTTATAAGCTATTTATATTTATATATGTATACTGCTCCGTAGGAGCCAAGAGGTTGAAAAAAAGGATGCAGTTCCCACTTGGCTAAATCTTAGACTGCAGAGCCAGGAGAATACACGGATAGCAATTGCTTGTGGAGGCATTAATCCCATAATTAGAAATAGAAATTTTCACACAAATAATATCCTTATACTCCTTTAGACCAGATTATTTTTCCAATATCTGATCAAGAATTAAACGTATTATGTCATGTTAGTCTCCAAGTAAATTCAGTAGCCTTTTTAAAAAATAATTCCTTCCCAATTTGCCTTAATATATTTCTCAGTTATTATTCTACCTGAAAGGTTTGAAATACAATAAATGAATTGTTATTGAAAATTCAAGGTAACATGAAACAGAAAGAAAAATTGATTCATGTTTGTTGAATCTTTTAAAAAATACATGTTGAGAAAAGTTCATAAAATCTTTTATTCTAATGGAGATAAAGTAATTTTATAGAAAAATCAAAATGCCCAGGTTTATTAGCTGTATTCTTACTGAAAGGCCTTGGACAGGTAATATTTTTTTCCCTTAGAAAAGTTCTGAATGTTTAAACTTACTGTAAAGTAGTTATCAAATTTGATAGACTTTTTTTAAATAAAAATATTACAATATATTGAACTTTTTCTATTTAAAAATGTGAGTGTTTAAATGTGTGTTTAACTTTTCTCAGTTTTTTGTTATTTGGAACAGGTGATTTCTTTGATTTTTGTTGATATAGTTAGTATTTTTTTTGTTTGCATTTTAGAGATTCTTTACTCTTTAAAAAGATACTACTATCAGCTGGCAAATTTAGATAATCACCGGTTATAATTTAAAAGATAATTTATTCACTATGGATAAAAGCTAAGTGAGCTTTTTAAGTTGAAACACTTTTATCTGTCAAGATTTTTGACCCTCACACACCCTCAAAAAGAGTGAGAGGAAATTTTTACATTGAATTTGGTGGTAACTTTTTTTTTTTATTGCACTCACATTGGTTTATAACATTGTATAAATTTCAGGTGTACATCATTATACTTCTATTTCGGCATAGATTACATCATGTTCACCACCCAAATACTAATTACAATCCATCACCACATGCATGTGCCTAATCATTGCTTTTGCCCTCCTCCCTCCCCACTTCCCCTCTGGTAACCACCAATCCAATCTCTGTCTCTATGTGTGTGTTTGTTGTTGTTTTTATCTTCTACTTACAGTGAGATCATATGGTATTTGACTTTCTTCCTCTGACTTATTTCACTTAGCATAATACCCTCAAGGTCCATCCATGTTGTCACAAATGGCTGGATTTCATCATTTCTTATGGCTGAGTAGTATTCCGTTGTATATATATTACTACATCTTCTTTATCCATTCGTCCCTTGATGGGCACTTAGGTTGTTTCCAAGTCTTGGCTACTGTGAATAATGCTGCAGTGAACACAGGGGTGCATGTATCTTTACGCATTGGTGTTTTCATGTTCTTTGGATAAATACCCAGCAGTGGAATAGCTGGATCATATGGTAGTTCTATCCTTAGTTTTCTGAGGAATCTCCACACTGTTTTCCATAGTGGCTGCACCAGTTTGCACTCCCACCAGCCATGTATGAGAGTTCCCTTCTCTCCAGATCCTCTCCAACACTTGTTTCCTGTGTTGTTAATTATAGCCTTTCTGACGGGGGTGAGGTGATATCTCATTGTAGTTTTGATTTGCATTTCCCTGATAGTTAACAATGCTGAACATCTTTTCATGTGCCGTTTGGCCAACTGTATATTTTCTTTGGAGAAATGTCTGTTCAGGTCTTTTGCCCATTTTTTAATTGGGTTGTTAGTTTTTTTGTTGTTGCGATGTATGAGTTCTTTATATATTTTGGAGATTAACCCCTTATCAGATATATGGTTTGCAAATATCTTCTCCCAATTGTTAGGTTGTCTTTTCGTTTTGTTGATGGTTTCCTTTGCTGTGCAGAAGCTTTTTAGTTTGATGTAGTCCCATTTGTTTATTTTTTCTGTTGTTTCTCTTGCCTGGTCAGACATGGTACTTGAAAATAGGTTGCTAAGACCGATGTCAAAGAGCGTACTTCCTATGTTTTCTTCTAAAAGTTTCATGGTTTCAAGTCTTACATTCAAGTCTTTTATCCATTTTGAGTTAATTTTTGTGTATGGTGTAAGATAATGGTCTATTTCCATTTTTTTGCATGTGGCTGTCCAGTTTTCCCAACACCATTTGTTGAAGAGACTTTCCTTTCTTCATTGTATGTTCTTGGCTCCTTTGTCGAAAATTAGCTGTCCATAGATATGTGGGTTTATTTCTGGGATGTCAATTCTATTCCATTGATCTATATGTCTGTTTTTGTGCCAGTAGGGTGCTAACTTTTTTAATGTTGCAAAATGTAATTTGTGTGTAAGTAAACAAGAATGATGGCATCACCAGTATTACACGTACTATTTCCATTAACTACAATAAGGAAAGCATTGAGATTATCAAAGTATTATGTGGCCTATGGTCTTTTAAACCATATTTGCATAGTCTACATTCTGGGAATAACTCGAATGAATGAATGATGAAAATGGTCAATGAATCAGAGTGATCATATTGACTTCTGCAAAAGGACTTGGAGGGACATATATGTATATAAAGTAATCTAGTACCATTAGCTAATACAAACCTTTCAGTTAACTTTGAACTAGAGAATAGTTTTTATTCACTGATTCACTCAATAAATGTCTATTGCAAACCTGCTGTGTGCAAGACCTAACTATTAAACAGTGGTATTAGAAAGAGAAGCCAGAAGGCTGGGCTCATGTATGAATGCATTTTGGTGCAGTACATCCTAGCATCTGGTCATCAGTTTTGCCCGTAAGAGAAATTTATTTTGTCTATTCATTCACATGTTTGTGGTCTGTGAAAGATGGACTTTTGTTAAATGAGGCTTACTAATAAGCCAAGATGTTAATTTACTTAGTACAGTGCAAAAAAAGATACTACTAGGAAAATGTGCTGGCACATCAGGTTATTCTTTCACAGTGGGAGAGTATATTTGGGAAGTCAGATTAAGATCAGATGCAGAATGATAATCATAACAAAGGTGACAAAGATAATCATAACAAAGGTGATGCATGAGGGCCCCAAGGCATCTATCTGCAGGTGCCCAAGGGCATTTCTGCTTTGTCTGTGCTCTTCTATTATCTTGGACCTGTTACAATAATTGCAGCTTATCTGATATCTCTCCCACAACATTTCATAGCTATCTTTGTTTCTATTTAATGGAGACTTGCAAGATGCTTTAGCTTCCTGACAGCACATCTCCAAGTGACCTCTTAGGATACATTGCATCTGATATATTGCATCTATATATGAATGATTTTACATCGACTTTTAGCAGTAATTTCAGTGGATAATATTTTCTTATTTGGAGCCTGAAGCAACACAATATTTGCAACATTTAAAAAATGAACAGGACATATTCCCTCTGTTAAGGAACACTCAATCCGATGGAATAGAAAAGATACCCAAACAACTATAGTGGTATGTGAAAGTGATGTAAGATACAGATATAAAGAAAATGGGGACAGAAAAACATTTTTGGCTTCAGGGACTAGAGAAGGCTTCAGAGACAAGGTGTCAGTTAAACTGCACCTTGAAGGAGAAATGAGACTTGGATGAATCCTGATAAGAGAAAGCATTCTAGATAGAAGGAGTAGTGTGGCAGGTCGTGTGAAATAAGGAAAACATGAGGTATGTTTGGTGAATAATGAATTACACCAGCCTAAGAATGGTTCTCAATCTTTTCAAAATGTGAGAGTCCTTTAGTAACGTAAAAAATGTTATCATACCTTCCCTCCACAGCATAGTAATTAAAACTTTTAATAGCTGCTGATTGAGAAAACACATTTGTGCATATGGTTTCTCAAACACTACTACAATAAGTTCTGGCCTCCTGGGGGTTCAGCACCCAAGTATTAAGAAACCACTGACAATACATTTATATTGGGGAGAGTAGTAAAAAGTAAATTTAGAGGCACAAGTAGTGGGCTGATCAAGGAAGGTCTTGAAAGTCAGGGTAGGCTTTAGAAATAAGTAATAATAAGAATGAGTAATAAGTACCGATTCCCAATTTAATTTCACCTTTAAGTAGTTTTCATCTTGTATATCAGTACATTGTAGCAGAACTAATGTGACAGAGAAGTTTGAGAGAACTATTTCCATTTTATAAATTTTGTCTTGATTCTGTTTATTTGGTGAAAACTCTATTCAGGTTAATGCTTTGACATTTTTAAACATTGCATTTTTTAATACATACCTTACTTCCCTGGTCTCAGTTAGCCAGACTACTGCAGTCATTA